ACAATATCTTTAGATATACTAAGGCAACAGAACAAGTGGGTTCAGGGTTCTGAAGGGCAATTTTAGGACAGACACCAAAAGTACTTTACACCAAGGGTAATTAACATGTATAGTGGGTTATCAGGAAGGATGTAGTGGACAGGACACTGGACATTTTAAGAAATAGCTTGATGTTGAAATGGGAAAACAGTAAGGTGGTTGAGATCATATGAGGCAAAAGAACTTCAACTGAATCTGTCTTGTGAACAATACTTCTGTCTTTACTTGAGGATACTAAACAGGTGTATCAAAGCTGAGTAATGCAATTTATTTAGAATAATCACTAATCTTTCTGCTTCCAGACATCATGTTCATATAAAAGCCTCCTTGAGCTCTTGTGCTTTTCTGTACCTATTGTAATTATCCACCTTATTCAATGAGGTTTGCACAGGTAATATCATCCCTGGTTTCAGAAAATATCCATTAGATACCAAAATAAATCTTTACAATTATGTATCTTGCTCAAGTGCACATAAATTATTCAAAATGGGAATTGATTTTTTTTGCTGTAATGAGCTTTATAGCCTGAGTACTGAGAGAGTGAAATCCCTTGAGTTGATATAGATCCCAGGATTTTGAGAGGGTGCCAGACCATGATATTACATGCATTTGAGTACACTGCACTGCACATTTATAACACTGCCAACAGCACAGAACTACTGGTGTCTTGACCCGTTTTGGAAAAGCATGAAAATGCATTGTGTGAGGTCCTGTTACCGTCTTAATAAAATTTTATTTTGGGATTTATTATGCGCCATTTGCAAATGCAGGTGTGTTGATTGCACTATGTCTAAGCCTACACCTCCATGCATCATATATAAATACGGATGGACAGATTCAATTCTGCAATTAACAACCAATGTAAAGGATTGTGTGAATCTTGACAGAAACAGTGTGCTGATCTCCAGTAATCAATTTGCATGTCTCAGTGCTAACCTCCTCCTGTGTTTATTCTAGATCTGCTCATGCACAGCTCTCCCAAAAGACTGTAGCAATTCATCCCTGGCCTATAAAGCCCTTTAGGTTTCAGCTTCGCTCAATCGGTAGCAATCTTACGTTTTGGTCAGAAGGTTATGCCTTCAGGCCCCTGCCAGGAGTTTGAGTAATATTCTTTAATTGAAATTAAATCTAGAAGCCAGGATATTTTAAGAACTGCGAAAAACTGGCTTTCAAATTTCCCCAATTTTTGCACCATCTTAACTTAAAATACAATGGTCTTAAAACTGCAGAGGTAAAGGTGATGCCGTTCTTCAGATCAGACATTAAAGTAAAGATGTCTTGTTCGGGGGACATTAAAGATTTTATGGCACTATTCAAAAAAAATGGTAGTTTCTCCTGGTGTTGTGGCCAATAATCTTCCACGTTAATTGATCATTCACTTTATGGTTATTTGTGGGACAATGCTGTGTGAAAATTGGCTGCTGTATTTACCTATAAACTTGCTCCCACCTACCTCAACGACCTCCTAACCCCATACTATCTTGCCCACTCCCTCCGCTCAGCGGGCTACGGCCTGCTTCATGTCTCCCGCCTCACCTGCTTCACCTTGGGGGGCAGGCCTTCTGCCACTCTACCTCTAACCTCTAGAACTCCATCCCACAGTCCCTCAGCCTCGCGCCCTCTCTTGCCTCCTTCAAAACCCATCTCAAGACTCCTGTTCGACCGTGCTTTCAATCACCCTGCTTCCCCCACTGCCCTCCACCCTCCCCAATCCCAACCCCCAGCTCAGATGTGAAACACTAACTGTCCAGCACCTTGGGATGTCCTCCCGACGTGAAAGGCGCTATACAATTGTAATGTTGTTGTTGTTGCAGTCACTACTCTTGTCAGCAGTTACCTGAAAACGGCTTTGAGATACTCCAATATGATAGTTACTGCTATTTATTATATGAAGGATTATTATTGGATAACTAGCTCTTCTATATAGATGGGTATCATTCCTCCTGGATATTTTTGTAACAAAGTCTTCTCTGTTAGCAATGTCTCTTAACAACCAAAACCAGGAAACTGAACCCTAAGCCCTTCGTTCCTCTGGGTCTGGCCTCCTCTTCGTCCCCCGAGTCCTCCGCTCCACCCTCGGCGGCCGTGCCTTCAGCCACTACGACCCGAGGCTCTGGAACTCCCTTCACCTCGCTCCCTCCCTTCCTATTTTCAGGTCTCTGCTGAAGACCTTTCCTTTGGTCACCTTCCTCCCCCTCCCCCCGGCTCGGTCCTGGGATCCGTTACTGTGAAGGGCTCTGAGATGTCGTCCGACGTGGAAGGTGCTATATAAATCCAAGTTGTTGTTGTTGTAAAACAGAACAATACAATTTACTTTTATATAGCGCCTTTCCTGTCAAGAGGAAGTCTCAAAGTGCTTGACACTGCTGGCTATGCACCTGAGCTGGGGGTGGGGAAAGGAAAGACTGAACGTGGGGTCAGAGACTAGCATTTCAAGACTGACCTTGCACAAAGGGAGAGAAGGAGTGAGTGAGTCAGAGGGACTCTGGGATTGAGTTGCAGAGAATAGGGGGTAGAATGATTGAAAGCATGTCCACCGAAGCTAAGGCAGATAGAGCAGGGGGTGGCATGAAACAGGCTGTTGTTCACTGATCCACATGAGCAATTGGATCATTACAATTGAAGGAGATATCAGAGATAGGCTAGGCAAGAGCCTGGAGGGATTTGAATGTGAGAATGAGATGCTTGAATTTAATCCACTGAGCGATGGGGGAGACAAGGGAGCCAAGACAGGATGGGGATGATTGGCTCACATGGATCCCAGTGTGAGAGAAAACATGGGCTGCAGAGTTCCAGATAATCTGTAACTTTTGTAGGGAAGAGGAGTTCAGCAAGTAAGGCATAAGTGTAGTCAGGTCTGGATGTGATGTAAGTGTGGATGAGGGTTTCAGCGGCCTGAGGCAAGAGACATTGGGGATGGCCAGCAATATGTTTTCACAAGACTGCTTAATTTAACATTATGTCATTGTCTGTATACATGTTCTACCATATCAATTCATTTCAATGCATTAATGTTAGAGATTGTCATTAAATGAGTAAATTTTCCTTCTCGTTGAATACACATGGTGAAAAACAATACTGGGAAATGTTTGAATGCAACCATATGTTTTTGGATGATTTTTATTTTCCAGGTTTAAAACAATTTTTGATTCGAGTTCCAAGCATTTTTTTGTGAATTTTTTTATTTCAATTTGGATGTCATAAGATATTCAAATTAAAACCCTTTGGTTTGATTTGATCAGTGACTCATGTCAGGAACAGATTTCAGAAAAACATATGAGGACGCCTTTGTTATGATCGTTAATATTAGTGGCACTCAAAGCAATGTTCCAGCTCATTTGGTCCAAACCTTTTCCTACCCCAGGAATGGAACACGCAAGAGCAGCAGGAACGTATTCAGTGCCTTTCACTTCAGGAGGACATCTCAACTATACAGAATATTTGTTTGATTTTGTTTTCTCTCTGTACAAAAAAATAAATAATTGGGGTTACAGTCAGTCATCATACGATATTTAAAAGCGTAAAATTCTATGCCTGCTGAAATTAAAGCCAATTGGTCCTGTTTAAGGTGAGAACAAATTTCTCCCACATCATCGTAAACGTGTAAGCAATGGGATGGGGGAAGATTGGCTACATCCAACTAGATTCCTCCTCTCCCCTCCCCCACCCCCCGCCCCATGCTTTTCTTTCTTAATTTACCTATGATTGTAGAAATTGGGCTTTAATTCAGTGTTTATTAAAAAAAAGCAAATATCAGACCCTACATGTACCTGATATGCTTTAATCTGAGCAACTGTAACTCCACTCAGATACTAATCCCATTGATGAGTAAAATCATCAATAAATTCAATAAGTGATTGGAAAAAGTATTTTAACTACACAGAAAGAAACCTGGCCAGATGCAAAACCTTATATAACAGAGATGGCCCTTAACTCCAAATTAACAGGAACAAATATGTAACTATATCAGGCGTTTTACACTGCTTAATGTGCAGCATAAATCAAGGTAGAACCAGCTTGAACTCTCTTCCTGACCACGCTTGGCATTGACTCTTTCAGAACCAATTCAAATCGCTACCTCAGAAATCGTAATAATCCTTACATTTGGTATAGTGCCTTTCACGTTGGGAGCATATCTCAAAGTGCTTCACAGGATTTACAGTAACGTAGTGACTGTGGATTTTGTAGATGAAACACAGCAGCTAATTTACACACAGCAATGTCCCACAAACAGCCATGACCAATTTTACTTGGGGGATTTTTGGCCGGGGAAAAGGCACCGGGGAAAACTCCCTTTTGTGTTTGAATAGTGCCATTGGATCTTTAACCATTTGAACATGAGGATGGGACTTTGCTTTGATGTCTCATCCGAAGGCAGACATCACCAACAATGCAGCCCATTCCCTGCACTGGACTGGAGTGTCAGCCTAGACTCATTTCAAAGTCCCAGTGTGACTCTTGAACCCACAACTTTCTGAGTCAGATGTCAAAATACTACTAAATGAGCTATACATGCCAGTGTGAATCAATACTTTTCTACCCCCCCTCTGCAAATATGGTCCATTAGAAGCTTTCAGATGGTCCAAGGGATACCCGAGAATTTTGAATAGATAAAAATTTTAAAATTTGTAATAAGTCGAGTCGTTGGATCAACATTTTAACAACATTAACATTAACCACATTAACAATGTGTGAACATGCAGAACTTAAAATCTGGAGTTCATTTTTTACCTATCACCTCCGAATCAACATGGATTCAGAAGTATAAATCAGGTGGGAGCATTATTGTTTCCTTCCAGCTGTATGTTATGGAGCATTATTTACTGCAAAGTTTGTTGATTTCATGTCAAGTACATTGTGTGTGTTTTGCTTTTTGAAACTAATTTGAAATGGTAAATGCACAGTCCTGTTAAAATCCTCCTCCTGTGCTTTTTCTCTCCCCCTTCACCCCCCGAAAAAAGATGTTCAGGATCTGGGATATCCAGACGCTTGCTGTGCTGCAGGTCTTCATCAGTAATGAACCTCAGGTGGGAGACAAGCGCATCAACACAATCGTTTTTGACAGAAAACACAAGAGATTAATCATTGGTAAGTTATTAAGTCATCAATAACTTTATCCTGCAATGTTCCTTTAAACTACTGTAAATTAGGTCCTTCTCAATCATTTATCCATCAATGTTGTGTATTTAAATGTTAGTATTGATGCCCTTAAGTGTCTGCTTTACTCCACAATCAGCCTGCAGGTTGCAATGCTTAACATAAGCTTCCCCAACCCCCAAAAAAAAATACAGTCAATCCACTTTACAGTATATCCTGTGAAGCGCTTTTGAGATGTCTCAACTACGTGTTAAGGCGCTTTATCAAATGCAAAGATCATTATTATTATTAAATTGCTGGTGGGTTGCTGTATTCTAAAAATACATTTCATTTCCTCACTCAAAGTAAATTTCATTTCTCTTCCTGTCAGTCTAAATATAGTGTAGGAATTACATTAACCTGAAATAGCTGTGTAACATTAGAGGGTAGCATTTCATTCGTCGACCACTGTAAGTGACTGCCTAAATGCTGACTTAACAGTATCACCTTCTGCACGTGCCTTCCTGACTATAGTTCATGAATCACAATTACATTTCCTTGTGTGTTATTCAAATGGTTTTCCTTGGGTTACAAGAGTGACCGTGCAAAATATTATAGGCTTTGTCATTAGTTAATCCAACACAATGTCTGAACACAGAAATGTTGACATTTCGAAAGGCAAAGATTCTATATAGGTACACAGGGCTGAAAAAACAATACATCCCCTGGGATGGATGAATTATACTCCAGTGAAGATTTGTGAATCACTGATTAATATTTTAAAGAAGTCAATCCACCCCGGTAAGGTTCCAACAGACTGAAAGCAAGCAAATGTGGTTCCCATATCCAAGAACAGTGACAGAGCCTGGCAACTACAAAGGTTATTAGCCTGACCTCTATATTTCCTCATTAAAGGAATCTGTGATTAGTAGCAAAATGATAGAATACATTTCTGAAGATGACCTTGTAAATGACAGTTAACGTTGTTTCACATCTCCTTTTTAAACTTTTCTTTCCACTTTACAGTAAATTATATGAAGAGCTTTGAAACTTTGATCGTGTGATAAGGCACTATATCAAATGCAATTATTATTAACAGAAATATGTTGACGCGATCAACAGTTTTGGCACAACTCTCTTCAAATGTCAGACAGTCTTGTTCTATAAACAGCTGGGGGATAATTTTACAATCCAACATTCATCCTGCAATGAAAACAGTTACATTTCCAAGCTTGCTGCATTTCGCCACCATCTAGCTGTACCACCATCGGTGACTGAGCTTTCAGATTCGACATCCCTAACAATGCACCTCTCTGTCTCTGTGTTTTCACAACCCGCCTCAAAGCCTACCTCTTTCACTGTGCCTATGGTCACCTCCTTCTTTCCCCTTCCCCTGCTCGGTATACAACCACTATCACTACAAAGCACTTTGAGCCATTACCCCACATAAAGGGTGCCACATAAATGTAAGGTGTTTTAAATTAATTGTTTGGCTTTGTTTGGCAGGTTCCTGTGTGATAGACGTTTTGCCCCTCATGAGTGCTGTCCAGGACACTATGCAGATTCCTCTATCCCATGAAAAATCCATTCTTGTTGTGACCTACAACAAAGTTAAGAACCAAGTAGTTTCCATTTGTAGTACACCTATAATTAAGGTAAGTAAATGCTTACTATTCAAAACTTATTAATTTCTTAATATGTTAGCTTGGCTTAGTTGGTAGCATTCCCATCTCAGGATCAGAAAAATGTGGATCATTGAAGCCCCAATACATATAATATAAAACTTGTGTAGCATCAAAGTCTATTGTACAATTGTTGTTTTTTATGGCAATACATTTGAAATGAATAATTCAATATTTTATTATAAGACCCAAAATGCTCATGGATATGTCTGGAGAGTTATTCTGCATGCCAGTCAGATATCGTCCCAGAAGAGCCACAATTTCCTGTAACTCAGTGTGGATAAAACACAAGTCTCCTTTTCAGCTCCTTTTTAAGTCTCCTCTTTTCTGGCTCTGACCTCCTCCACCCTTCACATGCTGCAACGTTGCAAAGAGAACAAAACTCCACCGTCCATGTCCTCACCCACACCAAACCTCAAACGCCCATATCACCTAGTCCTCACCAGTTTCCCAGATTTCAAGATCCTTACTCTCACCAACAAATCCATTGACTCCCTGGCACCTCCTTATCTTTCTGGCCCCCTCCTATCATACACCTCTGCTTGTCTGCTCAGCTACCTCAGGCTTGTTCCAACCATTGGTGGCCAAGTCTTCAGTTTATGTGCCTCTGGAACTCGCTCACTCTAGCACTCTATCTGCTCTCTCTATTTCTCTCTTCAAGTATCAGCTCAAATCCTACCCCTTTAACAATGCCTATGACTACCTACCCCTATCCCCCCTCTCCCATGCCAACTCTATTCACGGAAAAGACTTGAAGACATCACCCTATGTGATGGATGCTGTATCAATGCAATTTTAGTAGTTGTATGCTTTACTTCATAATTCTGTTATTTTTGTATATTTACTGCAATAGTCCCACATGTAATTCCATAGTCCAATTTTAACATGAAAAGATGTGCATCCAATAAGGAACAGCAGATTGTTTTTCACTGAGATCACTATCATTAACAATGCCCACATTTCGGTAACTGGCAATCAATCATCGCTGAATGCTATTGTCAAGAATACTTACCTTTTCTACTTTCTTTTGTGAAGGAAGCACACATACCAGTTCACGTTTTACTATACAAATTCCAGCTTGCTCGACTCTGGTAAAGGCTTGCTGTGCAATGGATGTTACAGAATGTCAGCATGCAGATGACTGATGACTCACAATGTTTGAACCACATGGTGTCTCTGTAGCTGTCTCCTTGAAACACTGCTATGCAACAGCCGATAATATGGCTTGCTCCATATTAATGCCTTGTGCCCAGCGCTTCCTGAATGTCCTGTTGACACGATATGAATATCAAGCTGCATATTCGCAATTGCAACTATTTCACATATTCATTGCAGCTTCCAGGACACCTGTGCAAACCACTGCAATAAATCCACAAAATTTATAAATTCCTAAGTAGATCTGGCTACCAAAAATATAGAATAGACATACAGGAAATCAGGGAAATATTTTAATGAAATAAATATTTGTTATCTCTGATTGCTTCCCATTCCAAATCTTTTCTTTTTGAATTCCCTCCTAACCATTGTTTTTTTCTTTCTTCAGAAAGATCAGAAAGTTTGGAAGCATTTTGAACAAAATTGTGTTGAGGGTTGTTACCTTGTAAGCTAGATTTATGTTGAGAACTTCTTGTGGCGCAAAAACATCTGACCAATCCAAAATATATGCACAGAATGCCAGCAATGTTTCATATCCCCCTTCCTGCCTGTGGACCATTCTCCATAGCAGTGGCCTGTCCCTTCAATGCAAAGTAAACCACCACTTGCATCTTAGTAAATGGGAACACACAGCAGGTCAGGTAGCATCTATGGAGAGAGGAAAATTAGTTAAAGTTTCCAGTCGATGACCTTTCATCAGAACGTATTTCAGATTTCCAGCATCTGCAGTATTTTGCCACTTGCTTCTTGCTCATTGGTTTCTGCATTAAACCACAGCAACTCTGTGGCATATCAATTGGAAAAACCAGTAACATTTATCAAGTATGTGACATTTCTTTCGTTGTTACAGCTTACTGTAGCATTTTATGCCACTAAATGTAAAACGGGGTCAAAAAAATATTATTTCATCTCCTTTCTGATTTACTTTTTTGATTAATTTCAAGATCCAATCTTTTTACAAAACGCAATCATTGTTTATCTATAGAGGATAGAAGTCAGTATAGATTCCTGGAATATTCTAAAGGAGTAACTAAATTAATGGCAGAATGATACAAATTATTCTACACAAAGAATAGCATATTCAGAAAACATTCAGAATATTTCTGGAAGAATTCCGGAGATTAATAGTCGTGGCTTTAATCACAAATTAATTATCTGAATTGGAAGTTGCCAACCAGTCATCAGGTAGGAGAGTAAACGAGCAAAGGTTTTGGTAAATTATTCATTATAAACCTACATAAAAGGCTTGCTGGCATTTAGTGACCAGGGCATATTGAACTCCTGTGAGTAATCTGCTCAGAACATATATATTACTGTGTACTGTGCCAATACAAATAGTTAAATAGCAGTACCCTATTAGTGCTACAACTATTCTCATATAAAATGACAGGAGAAAAGGTGATTGTTTTCTCTTTGAAGATGTGAATTATAATTGCACAACATTACAAGAATCACAGATAGTTACCTTCAGCTTTTTACATTCTGGAGTCCTGGAGCTCAGTGGTTAGAGCACTCGCTTTGCAAGTGAGAGACCTGAGTTCAATTCCAGGCAGAGGGCGAAACCTTGGGCAAGTTTCCTTACTCCACACAGAGCCTAATAATAATCCCTCCAAAACCAAAAACAATAATAAAAATTGGTCATTTTCAATCTACGACTGTTTGTGGGACATTGCTGTGCGCAATTGGCTGCCGCGTTCGCCCACAAATATACAGTCAATTCACTTTACAGTGTGTTCTGTGCAGCGCTTTGGGACGTCCTCCCGACGTGAAAAGCGCTATATGAAATGCAAGGATTATTATTATTATTATTATTATTCTGTAAATATCTGCAGAAAAAAATGCAATTAGTTATGTAGTTATTGTGCTAGAATGATATAGGTATTGCAGTGCTGAGAATGAGCTGCATTGTCAGTGGTGCTGTCCTTGGATGAGAGACCTTAAACCAAGGTTCAGTCTGTCCAGATGGGAGTTAAAAGCGCTACATCAAATACGAGGATTATTGTTATTCAATTATCTGATATTTAATTAGCACTGTATACTGTTAGTCAAAAACAGAAGTGGAGATGATCCTTGTAATGAGCCAATAAATTTGACATCAGGGGTGGAGAGGCAGGTGGAATCCATCATTTCTGTGTACCTGGAAAGACACAAGGTGATCAGGGTTAGCCAGCATGGATTTGTCAAGTGCAGCTCCTGTTTGGCTAACCTAATTGAATCATTCATTGAGCAGAGCATTTGGATGGGTCTAACAGCCTTCTTCTGTTCCAATTTCATATACTCTTATGTTCCAATATTTTAGATGTATTCAATATGCACAGCAAATAAACAGTTGAAATGAATATACATTGCTTGAGATTCACAGGGTTACTCTTGGCTACAGAATGTACTGTACGGATGGTATAAATTTTCTGTTAATGGAATAGAGAGTGCAACAATGACAAAATGATTCATTTTTCAGATGTGGCAAGTAGAAACTGGGGAAAAAATGTATCAAATTGTACAATCCCATGGACCAGATGTGGAGTTAACGGCTGCTGCACTAGATAAAAGTGGAAGCCATCTTATAACAGGAGCATTTGATGGTAAATAATTTGTGAGCTACTTTTTGAGTAGGAATGCATTGAACACTTTCAGCTCCCGCAGCTTCACTGTATGTATTTAATAATAATAATGTATATTTGCAAATATTATAAAGAAATAGCCTGAAAATTGCAAAAAGTCTGATGCCTAATCTGGGAGTAGAGTATCTGGGCTGCCCTTGCCTTTTCGGTTCCTATAATACCGTTTTTATCAATCCACGACTGTTTGTGGGACCCTGCTGTGCACAATTGGCTGCCACGTTTCACCCACAAAATATACAGTCAATTCACTTTATTCGGTGAAGCGCTTTGAGACGTCTTGAAGACATGATAAGGTGCTATATAAAATGCAAGGCTTATTATTATTACAGTAAACTCCTGATAATCCAATCCAAGCTGAACTTGTCACCACCACTTAAGCCATCATGCTGTCAAATCCTAGAGACATTATTTATGTATTTATACATATGCCTAACTCTCTACTCTGGCTAACTCGCTTTTCCCTTGGAGTGACAGGTTTTCAGGCGTTCACTGTATTTACTCTCAGTACAATATTTTTTGCACTGGAACCTCCCTAATAGAATTTTTCAAACTTCCAAAAATGCTTTGAGAGGATAAAGAGTAAAAACGTCTTCTCAATGTTTATAAATCAATAACAAAAGGCTCAAACCCACATTTGTCGAATGCCAATTGACCAACTGGTGAATATCCTTCTTGAGGAGAGATAAGTAGAGTCTCCTTGGAGCTGAACTTTCCCCAAGGTGATATGTTTGGCAATGGAATGGCAGAATCGAGCACCTTCAGTTTTAGTAGTCCAGTTCCTGAGCAAGGTGGGTCCGCAGTATTCCAGGACACTGCTGATGGCAGCCCAGCCAGCCTCGGCATGACTTGGAAGGGCAGACCAGTCACTGGGGCAGGAACTCTTCCACTCGGCTCCCGTTAACTTTGCAAGCCAAAGCCCTAATAGGTAGGGGGGTCCTATCTGGACAAGCAGCAGAAAAACTTGCTTCAAAATTCAAGCTATATGGTTTTAACTGTTTAGACTCTAGCAGTACCCCCAACAAACATTGTGGAACTCCAATACTCTCCGGATTTAGGTAAGTAGGATGCATCCTCCAGGTAGAGAATATGCATTCCACTTCAATAAATATATACATGTAAAGCTTTGTCAAACTTGGATATTGAGCTAAGACTACAACAGCTGTTTAAATGGTATAGTTAAATACATAAAGACGAACAATATGAAAGAGAAGAACAAGAAAATAGACTTAGACAATATAATTAACTAGTGGAAGAGCAAGGACTGACACAGATTTAACAGATTGAATGGCCTTCTATGTTCTAATTGCTATAAGGTATATAGAGGGATACAGCACGGAAACAGGTCATTTGGCCTATTTGTTTATACACCACACAAGCCCCATGTTTCCTATTTCCTTCTATTCCCTTCTAATAATAATAATAACCGTTGCATTTGATATAGGGCTTTTCACGTCTTCTAGACGTCTCAAAGCGCTTCACAGAATTTACTGTAAAGTGAATTGACTGTATATTTGTCCAATAAACAGTTGTGGATTGAGTGACCAAATTATTATTTTTTTCTTGAGAGATTATTATCAGGCATGTGGAGTAAGGAAACTTGCCCAAGGTTTCGCCCTGCAAGAAATCGAACCCTGGTCTCTATCCTTCGAGGCGAGTGCTGTAACCACTGAGCTACAGGACTCCAAGGTTTCAGGATTTCTCCCTCCTATATGCATCAAGTTTTCTCTTAAATACATTTAATTACATTTACATTTACAATTACATTTAAGACCTGATATTTTACCATTCTTCCTCGAGTACAGGCTCATTGAAGCTTTGGGAATTTGCAACTGGAGAGGAAATTAAAAGCTTGCCTCCGGCAGCTGAAAGCAGCGAGGAAGATCGCAGCATTTGCCAACTGACCTTTCTAAGGCAGCAGAATCCACGTTTGATACTCGCTCTGACTTGGAATAACACAATCCAAATAATTCAGGTTTTTTTATTACTATTTTCATTCAGCACTCCTGCATGTTATAATAATATTAAGTTACCTGTAAAGTAGAGTAATTTTGAGAATTTTTTTTCTCCTTCACCTCAGATATCCCACACATCATCAGTCTGCCCCTGAAGGTGGGAAAGTCCACAGGGACAATGTATGCAAGCACGTCTTTTAAGTTTTCCACATTCAAACACTCTTTTTTTTATCACTCTAGAAGAAACCTTGTGATATTCTCCACTTAACACTGTGGAGACTTGCCAACCTAGTTTTACTCTTAGTAAAAGTAATTATACTACTGCTATGGGAGTTGGGGATTTTTTAAAAAAGTTATGAATTACCCTTGTCAGAGGACATTATGGACCAAAGAACATACAAACAAGGTTAGTGACCCAATGAACACAAGCACAACAATAGGACTTTAGACCTCCCAGTGTAGCAGTTATCTATTGCCAAACAAATCCAGCATTTGTGCACCCATGCAATAAATGGTCCTCAGCTGAGCTTATGTTTCAGGATGATGTACTTCATCATTGTGCAGATAAAGAGCAAAATATTTAAACTTTAAAAAATGTTTGCGCAAATTTCAAGCTTTACTGGTAGAGAAGTCCCTTGGACTGGGACAATAAACATGTGTGTTAATTATGACCATATGGTCTAGGGTTACAAAACAGCTTCAGCAGGCACAGTATTTTGCTGTTTATGACCTGGTTTACACTTCAATTCTGATGTGAAAGCCAGACAGTGTATTGAATACAAGGATTATTATGATTTACAGTTTAAATCACTGTAGAGGTAATTTCTAAATGGTTTTCAATGATGGGTTAGCCAGGTATTTTGTCAAGCCATACATGTACAGTCTTATTAACAGTCCCGATGATTATAGGAACAATGTTTGTTTCACATTGCTACATATGTCTGCATTCAATGTGTATTATTATTATTTTGCTATTTATGACTTGATCTGCGATGCCATCCACATTCTAATGTTTGAAAAGAGCTGATTGATTGAATTTGACAAAACTTGGAAATACCCTACATTGTTATAGCACTTTATCTCATTGAAATGACTCAAAGCACTTCAAAAATAATTACTGTGAGTGAGTGTTTGTGTAGAAACCCACAACAGCAGCCATTAGCAACAGCAAGATCCTATTAACAACCATGAGTTGCATGTCACAAGACACCAGGAGAAACTCACTTTTCTTTTCAAATAATGTTAGGGATCTATAATGTCCACCTGAATAGGCAGATGTGACTTTAGATTACCATCTCATCTGAAAGACAGCACCTCTCCCCAGAATGCATGTTGGAGACAAGAAAGAGGGATCAAAGGTTCCTATAATCAATAGATCTTTGTTTAAGTATACATGTTTTATGATGACTTTTCACATAGAGCATTATCGATAACATCAAATATGTAAAGCAAAGACAAGTCAAGTTCCCTCACTGAGAGAATAATAATAATAGTTGAGAGTAATAATAATTGAGAATAATAATAAATTGGTCACTTCAATCCTGCTGTGACATTCTGTCAGGACAGCTGGGTCTTGGAGTCAAGGATGGAGGCAGAGAGGTAGAGTTGGGTGTCATCCGCATACATGTGGAAGTTGACCCCATGTCTGCAGATGATGTCACCAAGAGAGAGCATATAGATGTTGAAGAGGAGGGGACCAAGGACAGAGCCCTGAGGAACGTCGCACAAGATGGTGCGGGGCTAGAGGAGAAGCTGTTTGTGGAGATAAAGTGGAGGAAGTGTGAGAGGTACGATCTGAACTATTCAAGGTCAGAACTGTGAAGGTTTTGGTGAGAGGAGAGGCAGTGAATGAGGATAGGGTGGTCAACTGTGTCGAAGGCAGCAGAGAGGTCAAGCTGAGTCAAGTTATATAACTGAGTCAGTTATATAAATTAGAGCAAGGGAGCTTCCTGGTGGACCAATGAGAGGAATCGGAGAATCAAACCATTAAGAAGAGGTTCTTTGATTCTCACAATGCTATGAATGGAAATGTTTTTTTCTAAATGATACAGTGAGACACTGCTATTATTGTGTTCTTTATTCTTTTGGAATAAAGACTGCAATGTATGTCTAGTTACTTTATTTATCTAGATATCTTCATTATAACAGTGTCCTTCAGAGCCAAGTGGCTGCCTAGTTATAAATTCACGCAATAGATATACCCAGTACTGTATGGATTGTGAAATCGTCAGACCAATAGCTTTACAATGAGGGATGTATAATTACCGTTTTGGGGATGGAGTGTGCCTTACCTGGAACTGTGGTTGAGACAGAATCTATTTTAACTTTTAAGAAGGAATTAGATGAAAATCTGAAACAAAGAAATGTAAATGGCTATGGGGAAAGGGAGTCCGAATGGGGCTAAACAGATGGCTCTTTTATAGAGATAGGCATGATAGGTTGAATAGCCTCCTCTGTGCTGTAACTTTCCATAGTTCTATTGTCCATCTTTTGGAGAGAGAGGTATGGCTTTCAAACTGATATTGGGTGTGGGAATTCTCTGGAGTTGTAAATAATCTTGAGATCTGGGAACCGATCTGGCATGATTCTGTTTTACTTTTTAAAAAAAACAGTCTTGGAGAAAAAATAATCATTTACCATTTTTATGTTTCCCAAAGGATACGACAGATGTTTCTGATCTAACCATAATATCCGTAATTCCAGACATAGTAAGTTCCATACAGAAGTCCAGCGGTTTACCTTTCGAAAACAGAAATTTATTTCTACAGTCAGAACCTGAGAAAGAGGTAAATATTTATTAATTCATTCTGTAAAGTTGTTCATGTCAAATTCATTTGGATTTCAAGAAAACTTTGAAACCTTTGGTTGCGCAGACCCTTTATTTATTGAACATGCTTATTTTCTTATTGCAAAGAATTGTCTACTTGTATTCATCTCATAGTGAAAAACTGTATTTTTTTTCTTTCATGTTTTTCGCTTTGGGTGGATTTTGTGCTCAAGTCAGTCCGTGTGGTTGAATTGAATGATGTTCATATTTCTCACTATCTTGCAGATTTCTTAACAGAGATTTCTTTAAAAAAATGTAATTATTGAAATTTGAACAGTTTGATTTTAAATCGCCATGTAAGAGAGAATTAGATGGTGCAAACAAGGCTCATAACTTAACTGGGATGGATAACTTTCCAATAAAGTGGTTGTGTATCAGCAGTCATTGTGTGCTATGGTATAAACTCTTCCCTTTAATTATGACATCTTTACATGCCAGGCTATTCTAGATACAGATACGGCTCTATATTACTTACCCTCTAAGTAATATAGTTCCTTGTAATATTGCTCTTTTACACTTAATCAATTTTAAAATACCTTAAAAGTAAATTGTTTTAAGCTGCTGTGCATTTTAATGATGTGACATGTGTATTAGCAGAGCGGTTTATCAGAATATTATAATGTGTTCCAAATCATTTTAGGAATGTCTTGTTAATGCACTGTTGAGCTGCTTTGATACAATGCAATTCAAGAATGAAGAGCTGTTAGCATTTGGATGGCTGAGCTTAATTGTCCTTTGGGATATTAATTCTACTTCCATCAAAAAAATGTAAGCATACAACAGATTTCTTAGACTATGGAACACAGAAATATTATAAAGTGAATGCTGCTTATACACGGTTAGGTGTTCATCAATCTGGTTGATCTGTGCTTTACAGTGGAATTTCCTAATTATGAAGGACACATGCTGGGTTGGTAACTTTACTGAACCTTGTCTGAAACATTAAGGGAAACTTTGGTTAAGCCCATTCCAATACAACCACATGGTACCAGCTGCTTCCTTTGCTCAGCGAACACTGTCCTGCTTCTTGTTCCCCGACCCACCATTGGTGAGCAAGCTTTCAGCCATTCTGAACCCTGCTCTTTGGAACTCCATTCTAGAGTCCTTCCGACTAACTCTCTCTTGACATTCAAAGCCCACCTGAAGACATACCTCTTTGATTGCACTTTTGGTCATTTTAGTCATCAATCCCACCCAACTCCCCACCCTGCCCCTACTCTTCAGCTCGCAGCTCAGGTGTCTAGCCAGCTGTGTTAAGCATTTTGATGTGAAGGTAATTTTATAAATGTTAATTGTATTGTAATATTCCATTTTGGAAAATTGTTTTCAGCCAAATTCTGATAAAGAATCAAAGAAATGTATAATTATCGAAATTCAAGCATTTTCATTTAAGCTGTAATTTCAGAGAAAATTAGATGGTGTAAACAAAGCCACATGCCTCTAATATTTGTTTGGTAGAATGAAAGAAGATCGAATTTCAACTGAAGATGATAACACTGCAATGCAAAAGTTCATCCAGAATATGGATTTATTAAAGGTCCGAGTGGTCAAGTTTCTAGTCCACAGAAATATAAAGCTAGAAGCAGAAAATGCTAAGTAAATATATATTATTTTAACTGTTCTATACACAGTCACAGAACTTTATAGTAAATACTGTGAAGTGTTTTGAGATAACTTCCTGATGTGAAAGGCAATGTATCAAATACAAGGATTAGAATTATTAATTAAAAATGAATTTCGATCACACATTTTGGTAATATGAATATTAATGGAAATAGCTATCACTTAGCTCAGACCAATATTTATTTTGTTCACGTTTGGTAATTTGATCATAGGTAAAGAATAACAACACAATAACTTTCATTTATACAGCGCCTTTCACACGGGCCAGCATCTCGGACCACTGAACGAATTGCAATAAAGTTGCATGAATACCTGGCTAACACTGAACTGTAAGATCATAGTCGAATTATGTGCTTTCCGCCTACAGCAGCTTGCATTTATATAGCTCTGTGCCTGTTGGGAGAACAACTCAAAGCACTGCACTTTACAAAAACTCCCTTTACAAGATAGGGAGCCCAATCTAGGAAAGAGAAAGGAAGGACAGGTGGAGGAGGCACAGAGTTAAATATTCAGTTTACTCTAACAGGAGATGGGTAGAGCTGTTCACTGAAGTAGAATTCTTGCAGGTTGACATAATGCACTCTGCACATCATACATTTTATGTCTCGAGGTTCTCTATTTGGTGTTTGAGACGATTGCAACATTGTTTTTCAGTTATAGCACTTTTACAATTCCATTGTGTTGCCCAAAGTGTGTGAAATTATTTTTCTCATATTTGTAGCTACATTTATAAACATCTATTGACCAATTAAGGATTAACCTCCTTAGGGGGGAGGTAAACAGGATCGTTTTGGGTTTGAGATGGCTCCAAGGTAACTTGACTGGTAATAGGATAATGGAATCAAGTCATTCCTCTGTGGTGATCTCAATAGTCCTGTTCCTGAGCTCGGCAGATCTGCAGTATTCCAAGGCATATGCCAGCTAACCTGGAACATTAACAGAACTTGAGAGACCAGTGAAAGAAGGTAGGATTTTATCTACTCAGCACATTAGCTTCCATGCCAAAGCTTTATAAGCAAGAGTGGCCTTAGCTGGACAAGTAGTGAGAAGCTTGCTGTTATTTATATTCACAAGTCACACAGCCTTGGCTGGTTAAACACTAGCAGTATCCCAATGCACTCTCTGCGATCCCCAAACCTTGGTTCTTGCCAAATTATGCATGGTGGATTTTCACAATACCTACCTGACCAAAAAAATAGATACTGTGCTTTCTGCAGCATCAACGTTTTACCAGTGACCAACATGGCCATGGAGCAACAGTTTTTCAAAGTAACTGCTCCGTAAATCAATTGTGCCTTAAAACCCCGAGTGAGGCAACAATGTATCCGGATTTCAACAATTCCCTCACCGTTCCCTTGCCACCCCTCAAAGCCCCATATGTTTTAATGATTGTACCACATTTTTGGATTTGGCAGTTCTGCCAAAGTTTGGATTCTGGTGTTCAGTAATGCAGTCCTGCTGGGCTGCGCTGGCTGTTTCTTCTTGGAATTCTTAATGTTTCTATAATTCACCAGATTAAACGCTCCACTTTTTGGAATTGTTTCTTTCTGGTATGGTTTAAAAGACGCTATATAAATGCAAATTGTTTTGTAAGTTCTAAGAAGGTAGGCGAGCGGACATAATTTCAAATTCCCCCTAATTATGAAGCGATTGACAGCCAAGTGTAAAAACTTTGATATCCTTTGCATTGATCCCATTTCATACACTGAAAATTTCCTACAGGAAATCAAGTCAACATTCATTGCAGCCTCCACTAATATTAATTAAACACAGCAAATCAAGAATCAGCCTAAAGGCAAAGGTAGGATTACATTTTAATCCTTCATATTTAAAGAACTATGCAAAAAATAATTTGTACTTTCTCTATTACGCGTGCAATCCAGGACTGAAAGCCAATTTGTTTGTATGTTCCAGCAGCAATGTGTATTTTTTTCTGTAAAACCACTCCAAGCAGTATTTGATCATTTATTGGAAAATGCAGATCTTGTTTTGAAGTTAGGCTTTGGATTTAGAAATAAACTAGCATTTTAGTCTCTTGCCATTCAATTATTAATTATTCCACTCGTCCATGCTATTCTCTAAGGCTGGTTTGAATCTTTGAAAATCTTCTTCCTCTGCAATCTCAACCTGCAGCACTGGGACCATTTATCAAGAGCTCAGCAGCCTGGCAGTTGTGAACTGGGGGCCGAGACTCCTTCCACTCATCTCCTGTAAACACTGCAAATCAAACCCTAATGGCGAGTGTGTTCTCAGCTGGACAAATAGCAGGAAATCTTGGCTAGTTATGTGATTTTAGCTGGTTAAGCTCCAGTAGTACGCCAACACAGACTCTAGGGTTCCCTTGGCTCTTGCCAGCCTCCATCTAATACTCCCCATGTGCAGCTGACGTGCATGGAATTCTCAGCTTGCTTTGGATATTCTTATACAAGGTGGTGGGTTTCCTCATGCGTCAGACACCCGTCTGACCAAAAAAAAATTATGAGATTCTATGTCTCTAGTGTACTTCTGCTCCCCAAATATTTCAATTTTTGTCCTTGCCTTAGGCAGCAAAATCTAATTATATTTTCTATGCTTATATTTCACTAGTATACTTTACATGTAAGTGATTAAGTTCTTGTACAAATGGAAATTTACTCCTTTCAGAGCCCTGGGATATCTTTCCAACGTGAAGGGCGCTATACAAGTGTAATTTGTTGTTGTTTACAAATGTCAATGACTGAATACAAAGGCTTCCCTCATTTGATAGTATTGGATTCTCCAAGCTAGTTGTTGTAGTTGAGCGATAGATTTTCAAGAATGATAACATGGATTAGTTTAATAATTAATGCAATAGAAACACATAGTATCCAATCTGACTCAAATTAAAACTCATGGGTAGCTGTCAAAAAATTATTTTTAAAACTTGATGTCGTATTTGTGTAATCATGCTTATTGACATTCTCACTGCGTAGTATGTCCCAAATGCACTCTGTCATTTTTGGGAGAATTGTCCATCTGTGGCATACCCCAAGGATCCATCTTTGGCTCCCCCTTCTCTTCCTCATCTATATGCTCCCTCTCGGTGATGTCATCCTCAGATACGGGTTAACTTCCACATGTTTGTGGATGACACTCAATTCTACTTTTCCACTTCCAGCTGCGCTGATGTTCTGTCAGCTTGTCTATTGGACAACAGGAACTGGATGAGTGTAAATTTCCTGCAGCTAAATGTCAACAAGACGGAAGCCATACTCTTTGGCTCCCACCGATGTCTTCTGTCCCATGGTTCCGACCTTCTGAACCTCCCCGATCTGTCCTTAAAACTCGCTGAACCTGTGCACAAGTTAGGCGTCAGGTTCAATCCCCAATTATTCTTCCTTCACACATCCGGTCCCTGACCAGCATCGCTTTCTTCCACCTCCGCCACTTTGCCCGTCTCCCCCAAAAGCTGTCTAAACCCTTGTCCATGCCGTTGTCACCTCTCGGCTAGACTACTCTAAAGCCCTCTTTGCCAGTCGTCGATCTCCACTATTCACAAAATCCAGCTCATTCAAAACTCTGCCGCCCGCATTCTCACCCGCACCAACCTTCGTACTCCGATTACTCCAGTCCTTGCACCTGTCACAGAGCAGATCGACTTCAAGATTCTCACTTTAGTGTTTACATCAATCCATTCCTTGGCAACCCCTTATCTCTCTAACCTCCTCTTTCCTCACAGCAGTACCCGCTGCCTCCGCTCTACTGGGTTTGGCCTCCTCCGTGTCCCCCGAATCCTCCGCTCCACCATCAGCGGCTGTGCCTTTAGCCACTACACTACACCTCGCCACCTCCTTCCCCATCTTCAGGTCGCGCCTGAAGACCTTGCTTTTTGACTGCACCTACGGTCACCCCTTCCCCTGGCTCGGCCTTAGGCTCCACCATTGTTAAGCGCTCTGAGATGCCGCCTGGTTTGGAGGGTGCTATATAAGTGCATTTGTTGTTGTTGTTGCTGAAAGAATTATTATTTTTACCCAGATTTTGTCCACAAATAACGTATACAATAGATAAGGGAAACACTGTGGATTTGGATATAAAGTTTTTCAGAAAGCTTCTGATAAGGTGACACACAGGAGACTTGATAAATAAAATTAGTGCAAAACCAGAAAATGTGGGCAAACATTTAGAAAGAGGATATAATACAAGATAATATTAATAACCACTTGGAAAGACGTGGGTTGATTAAAGACAGTCAGTATTGATTTGTTAAAGGCAAGTCTTGCCTGATAAATCTAATAGTTTGACGAAATAACCGAAAAATAGATGAAGATAATGGTGTGGATGTGGTATCTATGGATTTTCAGAAAACTTTAATAATGTGCCACAAAGGAGACTTGTAGCTGAGGTCAAGATAAGCACAGCAGTTTGCACCAATAAAAACAGTGACACAAGATAAGGAGGCCTCCAGTCCCAAGTTTATGACCCAAAGCTGTTTTTTTTCACACATCGTTTAATTGTTGCACCTTCTGCTCAGCATCTGGACTTTATGGCCTCCTCATTGATGTGTCCAGCTCAAGGCGACAAACAGGAAAGAGATGACAAACATCTTGCTTGAGGGTGTTGTAGAGAAATGAGACATCACGCATTCCTCCTGTTAAATATTCTAAGCTAGATAGTCTGTTGAGTCGGCACCAAGCTTTGAGTGATCAAACAAGAGAACAGGAAACTTGCCGTCAGAGAGGTGATCTGGTTGGGTGATCGTGAAGACATAGTTCAGATCCACATTGTCTTTTAACAATTTGGAGCCTAGAAGAGCGGCTTGTCTGCGGGGACAACACCCATTCCCAAAGTGGAATATTTCGGTCTAATTCGGTTAATGGGTTATGAGCAGACCTAACCTCACTCACCAAAAAATGGAAACTGCCAGGCACAGACCAAGACTTGGCATCAAGACAAAGTTGGTGTATATAAGGACGAAATCCTATAGGGCAAGACACACCTGTTGCCAGCTTCTGAAGGGAAGCCAACAGTGTGTTAGCCTGAGCTCTAATGAACTGTAAGTGCTGATAACTTGCTTATTTGTCGAAAGGTTTTAGATGTCTGAGTGACTAATAAAGCTTTGCAGTTTTTGTACCGTACTCAACTTCTTATATATTTGTGTAAGAGTTCAAAGCTATGGGTGCCATCTCATGGTCAATCGGAAAACCCTGATCCTATTTAAGTCCCGGGAAGTCTTGGAAAGAGTTGAATACCATGACAGGCTTGTTAAAAATAATTAGGTGCATGGCATTAATGGAAAGGTAGTAACATGGATAGAAAGTTGCTTAAAGGGTAGAAAACTGAGGGGGAAATCCCAGAGCTGTTATTCACAATGGAGAAACGTAAATAATAGTATCCCTTAGGGGGTCAGTATTACACAGCTTTTCTCCATTTATGTAAATCATGGTAGTCATCCTGATATCTGTGCTGTAAATTTATGATGGCTCTGTGGCTCTAGATGACAATACTGGACTTAACTGTAAATCAGACACTTACGCATGAGGAAAACATTGTTTGAAATGTATTTTTGTGATTTCCTCTGCCCAAATAACAGTAGCTGAAATGGGAAAATGGGGACCAAAGTCATTAGATATTCAAGAACATCTCCCAACCACCACTACTATTATTTCAGTAGCAGATATCACAAAAGTAATTATTACATGATATTTTGCAAACTTATAATGTTTTCGCTGTTGGCTTAAGTTAAATGACCTTTGTCATAAGTTTCCATACTAACAATAAGGACTTTACACATACAATTGTAAAATACAAGTCTCTTATTTCTTTCTCTCTTGGTTGTTCCTCAAGACCATTACAGTATAATATTTTTTATGTCATGGTCATATAAAATGGATGGTATATTTCTCAGTTTCAGCGCCTTGGGACATCCTCCCGACGTGAAAGGCACTATACAAATGTAATTTTGTTGTCCTTTGTTGTTGGAATCAGTTTAATCAGTTTCACAGAAGTGTTGCTATTGGAGTTGCCCTGTGATGCTATTTACTTTCCACCCGACTATTAAATAATAATACCATAATATTGTATCAAGCTTTAACACAAATCATATCTCCTCCACTGTGTCTAGTAAATTAACTACAAGTTATGTTTTTCATATCTGCAAAATGCACCATTTCCAATTCATGGTTATTCAAATTATAGGAGTGTGTGGCTGAGAATACTTTAGAAACAAATGTAAAAAATAATTCTGATAAGTGAATAAAGAGTAAAATTAAATATTTGTCAATTAATTGAAATTGGTTTAACTCTTATTTTAAGATTGTCAAAGATTTAGATTATTCTAGTGTTAGAATTATCAATAATTCCATTTAATTTTCTTTACTTTTTTGTTGAAAAGGTCACAGCTTCTAAGCTAAGTATGAAAGAATCAGGTTAGTAAAATATTAATAATCCTTGCATTTGATATAATGTCTCACATTGGGAGGATGTGAAGACAGGATTTACTGTATAGCATAGTGTAATTTGTAGGCAAATGTGGCAGCCAATGTTCATACACTTGTGTCCGACAAACAGCCATGAATAGCCATAAAATGTCATATTTCATTTGGGGGATTATTGACCCTGACACCAAGAGAAACTTGCTTCTTTTTTCGAATAGTGCCATATGATCTTTAATGTCCACCTGAACATGCAAACAGGAGCTGAATGTTTTATCCAAAGGATGGCACCTCCAACGAGGCAGTGCACCCCCAACACTACAGTGGCGTGTCAGTCTACACCAAATGAGTTCAAAGTACTGTACCATTGCATGTCAGCACTGTCGTGTGTGAACCAAGCTGAAACTAAAGA